TGACACACTTGCTGGCGTAGTAAAGCCATATGCTACCTATTAGAGCAATGCAACAGCTCTCTTAGATGAGGAGGAATCATTCCCAGTTGGAGCAAAAATTGTTCGTTGGGATTTATGTGTGGTTGATTTAATTTCTGGCGGTGATTCAGCTAAAGAGGTGAGAGAAAATCGTTGCCAGGAACTACCGCCGCAAAGGGCACTTTCCAATCCGCAGTTAATAAAATTCCCTTATGCATCAGGCATCGCCAAGGCCGTGAGATTGACCTAGGATCCGGCGTCTGATCAGCTCCTATTTAATTTTTCTCAAATACTGACAACTCATCGACCCACCAAATGAAATGCATTGTAAACAATTGCAAAATTCTATGATCCACTTGGACTAATTGCACAAATCGTTAGAAAATCTAAAATTATTCTGCAATCCTTATGTAGTGCTAACGTGGATTGCGATGACGTATTGCCAGAGCCCATTCGTTCGTCATGGGAGGAGTTGACCTCTCAGTTGGTAGTCATCCAGAACATAACATTTCCACGATTCGTAATGTAACCACAGGCTTCCGTTGAATTGCATGGATTCTGCGATGCTAGCCCATCGCCGTATGGAGCGTATTTATATTTGCGATCGGCGGTTAATGAACAATTAAAAGTCTATCTGCTCTGTGCCAAGCCTAGGGTAGCTCCCTTTAAGGCTTTGATCACTCCAAGACCTTCTTTTCTTCTTCAAAGCTATTCGAATTGGCCCGCCGCTATTCTTCCGCCGTTTGCCGTTTGTATTGACGTTTCATCGAGCTGCAAATTCATCAACACTTTTGATAAGTTGCAGCGCGTATTTGCATACATTCAAAGTTTCATTGCCAATTGCAAAGCCAAAGCCGTTCCGTTAAAAGGCCTGCTTTCGGTTGAGATCGGCCTTAGTACTGTACTGCTTCTGAGGAGCATCCAACAGCTTTACTTTGCCAAAGAATATCTGGTTCTCAGCCAGGGCAAGCCGTGTCCTCAGGAAAGCAAACGGATTTCACTGCGGCCATTGCTTGGATTCGATGTATTACTTCGCGTTGGCGGAAGCCTTCAGAGCTAAAACTTGGACTACGATAAGAGGAAATATTCACATGCAGGATCACAAGCATTGCTGGGCACATTGGGGAAAAGTTATTGACCAATTGGAGGCCGCAAATTCGTAGCTAGCCGTTCTGCCCCAAAATGCCGATGCAGTTGGAACAGTACCTCTTTCAACTGGTTGAGTATGTTCGGAGCAGACCGCTCGCGCCTAATTAAGCGCGCATAGGCATATCGCTGCACCTACTGCGCTCTTAGCCCTTTTCATTGTTATCTATTTCTCCCTCTCTTCTTCTTCTCTCGCCTTATCCTTTAAGCTAAGCTACATTGTAAGCGCATATATATTGAAGCCAAGCGTTCGGTCGGCAGTTGCAGCTCCGACGAGAGAACAATAAAACAAGAAAAAAATACGGCATATAATCAACCTATTCGTGCGGTAGTTATTATTGCTCAAGGGTGGCAAATTCGTTGTCTTCCCCATAAACAATGGCCATGACCTTGTCTTTGTCATCCTCTATTTGAACAGTAGCCACCACATTGGTATTGAACAGCAACTTCTTATTGGGTAAGATAAGGCTCCCGAGCTTGTAGACATCATCTGCTAAAAATCTTCTTCGTGAAAAAAAAACTTGAGCGCGATTTTTATATTGCAGATACTCGCTTTCCCCATTAAACCTAACACAATTTCTCTTAAAATCAATTGTCGCATTTACTTGCGCTAACAAATCAAGGCCGATTAAACCGTCAAATATTTTAGGTCCGGGGAGTAAGAAAAAAGGGCTTTCTACCACAAAAAGGTCAAACTGACATTTGCGTTATATTTTTTCAACCCCATAAAGGCCATTTGGCCATAAAAGGTGATTCGACGGAATATGAAATTGGCAATCGTATTTTTTTTTTATATATCACTTTCAGAGGCCCCCGTATCCATTATCATTGGCAATCGATTATAATGATCCTTAGCTTGAACATCCTGATCTCCTCCAAACAGATGGTTTACTCTTTGACGCTTGAGGTGTGATATTCTTTGAGAGTTAGGCGATCTAATCTGCGTACTCTGTTAACATGTCTCTCGTGGTTTGCCTCTATTTTCTGAAGGGCTGAAGGAAAGTTCCTAGGCTGCGCAACATACGGTATATCAGTTAAATTTCTTTTTAGCCCAGAAATAAAGACAAGTAGGCCATCAGCCCTATGCTTATCATTCATATATCGGGCATGGTCAGCGTCATACATCGTTCTCATAAAACTGTGGATTGGACATTGTCCCTGCCTTAATGTTGTGAACTCTTGCTCGAGCAAGTGTAATGGACGTTCATTAGAATAGGTAAAATCAAGGGGGTTAATAAAAGAATAAAAACTTTATTAAATGACGAAAGGACAGAATCAGAAATCCCCTAACTTTGTTGCGAGTTATTAGAACAGCCTGACTACAACTACCACTATACCCTTTGAACAACTCATATGCAGCTAATGCTCCCTTTCGCCACGAAAAATATTTTCCCTCTGACTCATTATACTCTGGTAGTGAATTTACCGCGTAAAGGTCTTCTTCACAACTCACCTTGCTGGTTGGAGCAACAGGCAAGTATATTGCGATCTGAGAAGCGGATACTGCCGAAGCGATCAAATTATCAGTGACTTCCTGCTACCTTTCTTCGAACTGTTCTCTTTGCACCGCTAATTCAGGCAATATCGCTCCATTCATAACTGACTATACCTTTTGTGGATCCATACTCAGTTCATATTTTAGTTTTTCACGTTCGGCCTATTCTGTTAAGAGAAGCTTACTTAGTTGATAAACTAAGTCTTTCGACTCTGACTTGCTCATACAACAGTTGCCAATGTATCGTGCAGTCCCGAACTGATAACAAAGGCCGAATGCAAACAAGCGCAGAATGTTGAGCGCTAGTCAAGCTTAGCACAAAGCTATGCGTTCGTTTATTTGTCGTATTCTTGCCAACGAGTCAGATTTTACTAGATACCAACACCGGTACCGAGAGATAAGCAAGCAGTATATCAGCAAGTATTTGCATCAAGTTATTTTTTATTGAAAATAATAAATTACTTGTATTACATTTAGTTTATGTTAATACCAACACTGATTATAAAAGTAAATAACCTGTCCTCCTTCCAAGTTCCAAGACGTTTTTTTTTTCTTGCGCTTAAATTTTGCATAAACTACCGGGGTTTTAATTTAAATCTTCTATCTTGTGTTTATTAACTTCCCGTTCACTTCGCGTATACATGCAGTTATTCTTATTTGTGTAATTAATTGACTTTATTTCTTTATTTTAATTATGCTGCTAGTGCTTGCTTTTGCATTTTTTTTGCATTCCTCGGCACAAAGCCTTTCCCGCTAAGCCGTTTTCTGTGCCGTCACGACAGCTAAACGTTGCTTGCTTCTCTCTCTCTCTTTGTGCTGCTTATTTTATCTATCGCTCTATCTTGCTTTTCTTCGCCAAAAACCCGCAAAAATTAGGAATTAATTTAATTTTTTATTACGAGATAAATCCACAATTCGTGAACCATGTTTTGAGCTAAATATATATGCAAATATTAAGGCAAAATTATTATTAATAATAATTAATTCTTAGAGAAATACATTGAAGCCTGAACGACTATCCACATATATATATTCTACACAGTGAAATTTTAATTTTGATTACAAATTCAGGCCATCGTCGACGTCACGCCTACCGGTTCAGAGCATTTTGAGACAAGATCGGCAACTGAAATCTTCCCAGAGCGGTGTGACATTTGTTCCAGAAAAACTTACCCTGTGCGTATATGTCCCCGTTTCCTCGAAATGAATGTTTTAGTTGAGTTTTTAAAAAATAAAAATAAATATAAAAAATGGAGCGACAAATTTAATTCATTCACGAATAATTAACGGAAAATTCCGGCGTAAAAATATTTTGGAAATGTGAAGGATTTCAGGAGTAATCCTGCTAACTTGATATCAACTTAACAGGGCAACTTTGTATTTTTTTTAAATAAAAAAATATATAAAAGGAGCGACAAATTTAATTCTTTCACGAATAATTAACGGCAAATTCTGGCTTAAAAATATTTTGGAAATGTGATGGATTTCAGGAGTTGTCCTGCTAACTTGATTTCAACTTAGCAGGTCAACTTTGTATTTTTTAAAAATAAAAAAAATATAAGAATGGAGCGACAAATTAAATTCACGAATAATTAACGGCAAATTGTGGCGTAAAAAGATTTTGAAAATGTGAAGGATTTCAGGAGTTGTCCTGCTAACTTGATTTCAACTCAGCAGGGAAACTTTCATTTTTGAACTTTCAAATTAAAACAAAATGTATTAAAAATTGAGCGACAAATTTAATTCTTTCACGAATAATTAACGGAAAATTCTGAGCAAATAAGTTCTCGGAAATATTTAAGTTTTCAGGAGTTGCTCTGCTAACTTGATAATAACTTAGCAGGACATTAAAAAAGTAGGGTAAAAAATTGAACCTCAAATTTTTTTCTTTCACAAATGATTAACGGCAAATTATGGTAAAATCAAAAATTTTATTTTCCAAAGTTGTCCTGCTAACTTGATGCACATCACTACTAAATCAATCCGTCTTAGGATGACAGTTTTGAATTACTTGTATTTTAACATTTGCCTTCCAAATTTGCTAATCTTGTCGGGGCCGTCACCTTTATTAGGAGCCAGCTAAGGTTTAGGATGGATGCGGCTAGGTGGTTGCCTGCAAAATTCTTTGCGTGCAACGTTGTTGAAAGAGGTTGGCACCGTCGCATGCTGCTTCTCACGAAACTGTTGGACGGGAGATGCGCTGCCTGCAACTACTCACCTAGTGATCGCCAACCTTTCAATCTATTCGATTCTTATTTACTAACTTAAAGTCTGTCCGAAAAAAAACTTCTTTCAATTCATAATCCAAATGTATTACATTTTTATTAGACATTCTTTTTAATTACTCTTTTATAATATTATTTAAAGCCTGTCTTTATTGTTTAAGTTCATTGACGAAAGTTGCTTCCAATTCTGCAATCATAATATCATCGTTTCCTAATTTTATGCTTGATGTTAAAGATTTGTCGTTTTTCTCAAAGTTTTTTAAGTTGTAATTTTTAAAAATCTTCCTACTATCATCATTATTTACCTCGTGATTGCTTACATCTTTGCTCAATGGTATAAATATAATTTTATTTTCAGATGGTTTAGAACCATTTCCCAAAAATAACGATTTATTTGATGAATTATTATCAAGCCCTATTGTATTCAGTTCCTGTTCGTGGACTCTTATTAAATCCGTCATTGACCTACAATGTGAATCATGATAATCATATTTACTGCAATTTTGAGAAATATGATCAATATGAGAAGGTAATTGATTACATTTTCTATGACTGCAAAATGTCGATAGCGATTCTTTGTCGGCTCCTGATAACTTTCCATTTTCTTGTGCTGAATTTAAGTACTGAATATCAGTAGGATTTTGTTTAAAATAAATATTGCTCTTATGAGAATGAATCATTTGCTCTAGAGCTTCAAAGTGTGAGTTTTGGTTTAAGTCAATCCGGCTATCGCATGAACGAAATGCGCCCATAAGACTTATAATTATTTCCAAAGGTGCAGGACATCCACAGTTCCGCGATTTCAATAAGAACACCAGTAATTTGTATACTTCCAGGCGAGAATTCCTAATGCTACTTGAATATGGCTTTGTCATTTGCAATGAGTGCATTTGTATACTGATATCCAATAGAGTATTATGCACGTCCTGTAAGAAGTATTTTGTAATAAATTAATTAAACTCTTAAAAAGCTAAATATACTTTCCTTTAAAATAGAACATTTAATCTTGTGTCCAGATGATGATAATAATTGTTCCAGGCAAAAATAGGCTTGCTGATGAAGCACGCAATCATTTTCAATTCCGATTGAAAAGTCTAACATAAGAAATATTTCATCAAGATGCTCTTTATCACGCTTGATTGACTGAGGACAGTAAAAATATTATTACACATCAATAGTAATTTTTTTTATTTACCGTAAACGAAAAATGTTTGCTGCGAGGCTTTAAATCATGAATTATTTCTTTTATAACAGCTTCTGAAATAATTTCGCAATGGCTTCCTTCCTTCAAGGTCGAGCACCATAATGACACAACTCTATAAACCGTCGATCGTAGCTTGCTAAAAATAAAAAGAGGTAGTAGGGTAATTCCTTGGTTTTCTAAGGTTTTCTAGGTTTTTAAATTAGTTGCTTAAAAAATAGTTTAAATGTTGAAGAAAAATTTTGTTTTCACCTCATTTTTGTAATTTTTATACCCTTGCAGGGTATTATAATTTCAGTCAGAAGATTGCAACGCAGTGAAGGAGGCACCTCCGACTATATAAAGTATATATATTCTTGATCAGGATCAACAGCCGAGTCGATCTAGCCATGTCCGTCTGTCCGTCTGTCCTTCTGTCCGTCTGTCCGTCTGTCCGTCTGTCCGTTTCTACGCAAACTAGTCTCTCAGTTTTGAAGCTATCTGAATGCAACTTTCCTTCTATATACTCTCACTCGTATATATGTATGTCGGAACGGGCCGGATCGCACGACTATATCATATAGCTGCCATAGGAATGATCGGAAAGTTTTTACAAAAAAAATTTAACTTTTTCAGTTTTCAATAGAATTGGATCAAATTTGAGATATAGCCATTTTACTATACCCTACAATTTTGCATAAAATTTTATGAAAATCGGACTACTATATCATATAGCTCCCATAGGAACGATCGAAAAATTAATACAATTAAAAATTATAACTTTTTCGGGTTTCAACAGATTTTCATCAAATTTGAGGTATAGCTATTTTATATTAGTCTTAAATTTTGTGTCAAATTTCATGAAAATCGGACAACTATATCATATAGGTGCCATACAAACGATCGTTTGATGTAGAGGAAAAATGCAAATCTGTGAATGTAAAACTGCAAATATAATATGTATAAGTGAATGAAATGAAAGCAGGTATTACTTCATTGTTTTTTAACACAAATATATATAATTTATATTGTATGGATTCCTATTCATAGAAGTTCTATCTGCAAGGGTATATAAACTTCGGCGTGCCGAAGTTAGCTTCCTTTCTTGTTTTTTTTTTTCATATAGAACACATAAAAACTTTTTTATGCTGGTCGTTAGTGATTGGAACGACCGCCTACATAACCGTAAGCTTAAGATTGTATAGACCCATACCAAAGACTATACAATTTACAAGATGCCTCACGACCATACATTCGTTTTGAAATATGAGGGTAATTTTTAGATTCAAACGACAATGGCGCTCTCCAAGCTCTCACAAAGTTGAATGCGTTTGCATGTATGAGTAAACACAGAACCCTGCAGTACCGCGTGTCATCAATAGGCCACTGTCATCAACATATCATCAACGCGCCGACTGCGACTTCTACCGAGGCAACGCTCTGCCGACATCGGAAACATCGGAGCTGCCTCCCAATTGAACCTCCCCGTGAGCTTCCACAGAACAAAGTTTGTGTTTTGATTCAGGCTCGCTTCGCAGTCATTACATGGCAAATAGGCACACACTGCCCTATAACTCACAATGCAGAAGCTGCATGGAAGCAGGCGAGCAGGGGACACCGGAGCATTTTACTACTCTGCACTCAACCAACTCATCGCTCAAGTCACAAGGATAAGTGAAAAGAGTCAGTGACTGCCATCAGACTTTACCTGAAAAACACGGGTTGGTACCCATAGCGAACCACTGACTACAACCTAACTAAGGTTGTGGATCAAAACGGAGCTCAGCTCCTACATGACAACTCCGGGACGGTAACCTCCGAGTCCTTCATGTTCACAGTATCCTGGTTAAAGCCGGATATTCTGATTTTTCCAGTTGTAGTCACAGTATATCGGCTAGATCATCCTATGAGACTTGGGGTGGTGTCCTTATATTTATATAACTTTATATTGGACCCGCCTTTGCGCTATTTATATAGACTTATGGATAGGCACCATTTGGTAGGCGATTTTAACATTCCTCGGGCTATTTGGTCTTCAAATAATTCCACAAATACTCTACCTCAAAACAACATGATTTTATTGCTGACTTTTCGACATTTTGCTGGGCCAAGACAGCCATGTACGAAATTCCTTAAGCTAGGTACACACGATGCAAACAATTTGTAGCAAGTTGATTGCTGCAATCAAATTTGCACATATAAACACGAGTGAAAACATTTTGCTGCAAACAAAGAACTTGCAAAGATTTTTTTCAGCAATATTTTTTGCTTGTCGTCTGTATACAATTTTTTTACCGCTATCTTGGTTGCGTCAGTTGCTTGCTTGTGCTCTTTGCTTTCAGTCGCAGTATTGAAGCAAGCAAAGTACCTTATGGGATCGCGAGAACACAATAAGATTAATTGAATTGTACGACAATCATTCCGTGGCTAAAAAACGCAGTCAGGGCTAATCGCTCATTTGGTGGAATCGCAGGACGCATTACTGTGTCTTGTTTAGTTATGTAGTTTTTTACTTTTTCTAATAAAAAGTTGAAATCACTGACATACGAACAAAATTGTAATAGTTTGTTTCATCGCCATTTTGAAGCTCTTTTAAAAGGTTCTGATGCACTCCTTTTTCATCTCTTTTCGAAATCCACTTTTTCACCCAACACTTTCTATTTTTTGCAGATTTCAATTTCCTCACTTTTTACGTTTAATTAAAGAAACTTTCGATTTTTGTGCCGACATAATATTAACACGTCGTTATTCCTTGACTTGCAGAAAACAACAGAACTTGCAAATGAGCGTCACTTGCAAGCACTGCACGAAATAGCTATGCAAAAGTTTGCGTACAAAACATAAATTTATTGAAGCAAGAAATTTTCTTGCAATATTTGCATAGGTTTAAACATTTGTGCAAATTGTTTGCATCGTGTGTACCTAGCTTTAGAGCGCTTGCCCGATTTTTATTTTGTCTCAGATCGAGCGAGTTTTTTTTCGCTACGGTGGCTCCGCTGACGCCACCCACAAAGTCCCATCATTCTACTTTCGATTGGACACTCGACATTGGGACTAATTTACAGAATATATCTGGCCGTCCACCCAAAAAAGTACTCTGGTTTTAAAAAACGAACTTTGAACGCCTGAATAATTATAAATCTGGTTTCAATTGGTCAATCTCAAATATGCCACCGTGGTTTTCTTAAGAGGCAAGTCGCCACAAAAATATAAAATCCATACTGTATGCTAAATTTAAACGAACCGGCTATCAAAATGCCCTTTCCACTTAGTTTACTTCTCGATAAAACTTACCGTTGTGAACGCGCAGTGTTAGAAAAATTATGAACTCGTTGCAGGTTTCAGTTCTAACAGGACCCTAAACAGCTTTATAATTTTCATAACACTAAACGTAAGCCTAAAACAAATCCTTCTTCGGTTTTATTTGAAACACGATCGTAAATAATGGTCAGGCAATAGCCGATCTATTTCCGAAGTTTTTTTTAAACAACTTACTCAAACTCTACTTATTCAAATCAGACATTCATACATAAGGCTAAACGAATCTAGTTTTTAGTCCTTGCTTAAATGCTATCTTCTTTTACATCTTCATAGTTTTAGGCGATATTATTTGCCAGGTCCCGACGGAGTAATGTGTTGCCTGCTTGATATTTTCGACGCCGCGTGTTATTCCCTTCTGTAATTCTCTAGATCAGTACAAATCAGATCAGTTTAAATAATGCGAAAAATTCCATGTTTTTGTGATTTTATCCCCGACAACACAGTTAAAATGTATTTATTTAACGAATGGTACATTAAAGTATAACATTCGAAGAATGTCTTATAAAATTTAAATAAAGAAATATTCAATAATATGGCAACGGTAGTAATTGTCCGGACGTATTTGGAAAAAAAGTTGAATTGCGGTGCCCATCATAACTCGGTGCCGGATCATCGAAAATCAAAAATCCAAATTCATTCGCTAGATTATAAAACACCCCAGGTAACGCTGTCGAGTTTTTTTTTTTTAATTCCAAATTTTGAATTTTTTCGAAGACTTTGAAATGAAAAATAAAATTTTTTGGGAAAAAATCGACTAATTTGTCATTTCAAATCAAAATTATGAACAAACCAAGAAAGGTAGATAACTTCGGTACGCCGAAGTTCATATAACACTGTAGATAGAACTTCGATGACTAGGAATCAATACAATATAAATTATATATATACATGTTAAACAACAATGCTGTAAATCCTGCTTTCATTTTATTCACCTATACAATTTCTATTTACAGTTCATTCACAGTTTTGCATTTTTCCTCTATATATAACGATCGCCTGTACGGTAGATATATCATATAATCGTCCGAATTTCATTAAAGTAAAATAAAAATTTCATAAATTTATAAAAGGACTTTATCTCAAATTTGACGCAAATATGTTGAAAACTGAAAAAGTTATATATTTTTAATGTATTCATTTCTCGATCGTTCCTATGGGAGCTATACAATATAGTAGTCCGATTTTCAACAAATTTTACACAAAATTTTAGAATTATATAAAAGGGCTATATCTAAAATTTGATGAAAATCCGTTGAAAAGTGAAAAAATTATAAGTTTTAATTGTGTTAATTTCTCGTTGATATCAAGCTAGCAGGGCTTCCTTTCTTGATTAGATTTTTTTTTATTTTTTAAAAACTCAAATTTGCCCTGCTAAGTTGATATCAAATTAGCAGGACAACTCTGAATCCCTTTACATTTCCAAAATCTTTTTACTCCAGAATTTGCCGTTAATTATTCGTGAAAAAATTAAATTTGTCGCTCCATTTTTTATATTTGTTTTTATTTATTAAATACTCAAATTTGCCCTGCTAAGTTGATATCAACTTAGCTTGCAATCCGAGCCTGACGGATTGCCAACGATTTCACTATTTAAAATCGTACCTCTCCGGAGACGCGCTCACATTAGTTAAACAAATTTCGGTTACTAATGAAAACTAAAAAAAAACAGCGATATAACATCAATCGCTAATTATCCGATCATTTCTAAACAGTTTTATGACGCTCCCCAGTACTACAACCTCTAACATCAGTACAGAGCGTAAACTTGCAGATGGTGCAGATGAAGTTATTTGTGGCTTACGCGCTCTTAACTGCGAAGAACGGGATCCCTGGCTAATCTTCATATTATTGTCAATGTTGGATTCGGAGTCCCGCCAAGCTTGGGCTCAGTGCCCAGACTCTGAGAAGAGAGGTGTGACCAAAAACCAATTTTTAAAATTTCTCACCGCACGCTGCGACACCTTGGAGGCTTTTCACTTAGTTCAACCAACCCAAGCTCGACGCGCAGCTACAACGCATCACGCAGACATGCATCCAAGACGAGACGAAACTAAATTTACATCGTGCCAGCAGAATCATCAAATATTTTAATGTCCTCAATTCATCGCCCTCGACATTGCATCTCGTCGGGAGTTCCTCAAGTCGAAGAAGCTCTGTTTCAATTGCCTCAGCCCCACTCACATGTTGGGAAACTGTACCTCCTTTGGCAGACCCAACCTTCTGCACGCCAGGATCCATCGATGTCATCGTTGGATCAGATTAGCTGTGGTCTCTCTATACTGGATAACGCAAATATTTTGGTACGACTTTCCTATTGCTCTGAATACTGTTTTTGGTTGGACTATTGCAGGCTCTTACAATGCATGCGATGATCACCTGACTTTTGCCGTGACACACCACGCGGACTTAGATACGATGGTTCGCTCATTTATGGAAATGGACAGTATACAGCCAAGCAAGGCTCTCCTGGAAGCCAACGATCCCACCGAGCGTCATTTTGCTGCCACACATACGCGTTCTGACAGCGGGGCTTTCATCGTTCAGTACCCCTTCAAGTAGAAGGCGCCGCCTATTGGCTCAATTTTGACGCAGGCTATTAATCGCTTCTATTTAAAACGTGGACATATGGAACAACTTACATCAGCTCAAGTTGACGAGCCCCCAAAAGGTTGCTTCTATCTACCGCACCACGCTGTCATTAAACTTGACAGTTTGACTACCAAATGTCGTGTAGTTTTCGATGGATCGGGAAAGGACAGCCGTGGACTATCCCTTAATGATCGACTGTATGTTGGTCCTCCAATTCAACGTGATCTCCTTGGCGTTTGTTTACGTTTTCGTCAGCACCAATATATTCTATGTGCAGATATCGAAAAGATGTTCCGAGGGATTCAATGTTACAAGCCACACGCCAATTTTCAACGCATTGTTAGGCAAAAGTAAGAGAATGATGGCATGGATTGGCACCGCCCCCATTTCTGGCCGTTCGAGTTCTGAAACAATTATCTGACGATCACCGCCAAGAGTTCCCTGCAGCTGCCCATGCACTCTAACACGATGCCTATGTGGATGATTTTCCAACGGGATGCAACTCATTCGAAGAACTTATGAGTCTAAAGAACGAGCTAATTGGGCTTTTGGAAAAGGGGCAATTCAAACTCCGGAAATGGAGTTCCAATAGTTGACGTCTTTTAAAATCATTGCCAGAAGAAGATAGGTGTTTTGAGCCTACCTAGCTCCTTAACAAATCTGCCGCGGATTCACATGTAAAAATTCTTGGTATCCAATGGAATCCCGGAAAGGACGTCATGTATCTCAATCTCAAGGAATGCGATACGACTATTTCAACGACAAAACGAGAAATCTTGTCGCAACCATCGAGAATCTATGATCCACTTGGACTTATAGCGCCGGTCACAGTTTTACTCAAGCTTATATTTCAAGAAAGCTGGTCGTGTACTGCACTGGGATGAGCCAATTCCTGCAACCCTACGCTCGCGCTGGAAAGC